CTCTAAGTGATATAGCTTAGAACCAATATCTTTGTTGCAGATGTATGAACACATTATCTTCATCTCAACCGCTATACTTAATCTCATCATTTTATCATTCTTCCTTCATCTCATTTACTACTTTCTAGGTCTCTTGATAGTTTTTTTCTCCGTCTTCTATTTTATTGCCTTGTTATTTGATGTACTGATATAAGGTGTGGCAACTTGGAACGTTACGCAGTAATGTCTGGTCTTATGTTGACCTTAGTGATGATGATGGTAACGATATGGCGTATTTTTACTTGAGTAATCCCGGTGCAGTATATTAGAAATAATGACAAAATAAACACATTGTGTAATATTCCTCAACTTTTTGATTTTCTTAGAAAGATATTTTTCAAGAATATCAATCTGACATTAGGTTTTTAGGTTGATGAATATAACTTCATAACCTAGTATGAGGTACAATTAGAGTGTTCTAAACCGATGATATGAAGAAAGTATCAGTGGGCTGGACCACACTTTTATGGAGTGATCACTTTCTTTACAAATCGCAGGCAAAAATGAATGCCATTCCGTATACGTGTCATGAAATCAAAGTTTTACTGTTTCTCAAACTAAACATTTCATTTAATATATTATATATTTGTATGAGTAACAACGTGTTTGGAATAAAATAATCCCATCATTTTACACGGAAGTCTGATTCAAGCTTGTTCATGAATTAATTCAAAATTAAAGTACCGAAGGTTTATAAATGCAGTGAAATATGTGTACTTGGGTCTCTTATTCATTATCATGTTAAGATTACTTCACTATCGCTTGATACTTGTAACTTCCTGTTGTTATACAGGGTCGAATTTCACAATCTTTGTTTGTAGATGGGCTCCTGTGCGAACGCCTGGTTACTTCTGGTCATTCATGATGTTGATATTCATCTTCATGACTAGCAGAATTCAGGAAGCGCGTTTCGTCCTATTTGGAACTCGTCAGCTGGATGTGCCTCTACCCTAGGCAGTGAAGCTGTTCCCACTGGGATTCGGACTCGGATGCAATATCATGAGTATTCAGGAGTATCAACGCATCCGCATAGGAGCCAATCTACCATCAGAGATCGAGCCATTTGACACAGTGTGAATTATCCATGTATACCAGCCTTACCTTACTTTTACAATTCGACCTAACGGTTAATCCAATTCGCTTCAGAAAATGTGATGGATGTCATCACGTTAAATAGGAACTACAAGTAAGTTGAATATATTCTTGATGCGCTAAGAATGTAAAACGAATTTTGGTGAACACCTGAGGACCCAAATATGTGTTCAACTTATTATTCAAAGACTAAAAACAGAGTGAGTGAAGAAACATTTCTTTCGAACGCGTGATAATGGTTTGAATTATTGAATCGCTAATGCTTCAACTATGCAGAGATGTTCTAACCTCACTTCTTTCAAGTGGACTTATCAAAAGGAGTCAAATGTCCTGAGTTAACTAAGTGTTCTGTTACAAATCTGAAAATGCATTTCCGTTCTCCCCTTATCGACCAAGTTGGACAGTGTTTGCGAGCAAGCTGCATAAGCTGGAACATGGTGCGGTCAATATACTTGACTTAACAGAAGCAAGTAAACTGGTATTCACACACTTATGTAGCTCAATGCTCTGGCTTATTCTCTGCTTGCTGACAAATGAGTTTCTGACAGAAGGTGATTCTAAGATTGCCTGCAAAGAATGTTCTGTTTGTAGACCTTGACAGTCTCTTCATAAGTATATCTGCTGCATATCTCCCTTGAATTCGAGATTCATTTCTAGAGTCTTTTCCGGAGCAGTATGCACGCGTATTGTGGCGCTTTTTGACTTTTGATTCTCATCTGTAAATTTCAGTAGGTATCCATTTTTCATTAGGATTTCTAGCGAATTTTCTGGTTCATCGTGGATGATATCCTCTGTGCATATTCTTCATATTCTTGAGGAGAATGAATTGATAAGATTCCTCTTTCTGCTTAAGGGCGAACAGGTGTGAAAACTAATGAACTGCTCTCTTTTTGTAAATAGATCTCTGAAGTGAATTGTAATTTTTTCTCTGAAGTTGGATATCGAGGAACTGAAATTTTGAGTTTGACACTTCTTCTAGAGTCATTCTGATAAAGGAGTGGATACCATTGAAGTTTTGAAGCGGGATTTTGAGATCCGTATTCTTGTCACAAATAACGAAGGTATCATCTATGTATCTTTTGTAGAAATGAAGCTCGCTGATTATTTTTGAAAATGTTGTGTCTTCCAGGTTTGGCATAAAACAGTCATCTTGGAGGGGTTCTAGAGGTGATCCCAGTTCCACTCCATCTACCTGTCTGTAGATTTTGTTGTCAAATCTGAAGGGCTCGTTGAAGGTACATTTGAAAAGTTTTTTTAGATAGTGATTTGAAATACCAATGTTTAATATATGGAACTGAATGAAGCTACACAGGAAATAAATGATTTTCGTTAGTGGGAAATTTGTAAATAGGGAGAGGACACCTAGATAAATCACCTTTTTCTCCAACGGACTGCCATTTTTTGATTAAATGAATAAAAGAAATTTATCATGCAGACTACGTTTCAAAATTTCATTCTTCACTGGACCCAGTATGTTGACGAGCTATTTTGCAACTGAATGATAAGTAGAATTGGTCACGTCTAGTATCGGACGATGTGACGAGACAAAAAATCAAGAGGACAGGTAATATGACATGAAGAGGTTGAAGGGTCCTTTCCTGAAAAATGATAATCCATTAGACAAAATGTGAAATAAATTTAGGACTGATTTACTCTGATGGCTAAGGTAATGACAGAGGTTGTACAAGTTTCTTTTGAAGACAACTATTCGGTGTATACCAACAGGTTTGACGGCATGTAGCAAGCAAACAGGTAGACTACGCCGAAGACTGAATCAGAGGCGCTAAATATCTGTAAAATCCATGCTGGTATAAACTTTATGGTCAGTATTGATTGAGCCTCCTATTGTGCTTATTCGTCCATTACTCAGCCATGCTGGATGGCTATCAGATATTCTACTGTGCACTTGTCTAAATGTACAGTCCAGATTGCGTAAGAAAATTCTTTGAAGAAACAGAATTAACTTGATTTATTCTACTCATCACTAACCACAAGGAAACAAATTACCATGATTAACATTAAGGCGATATTGAGGCATCTGGATAGGAGCCCATATGATAGCACAGGTCGAACAGTTTGATCCGAAAAAAGCGGAGAATTACAAGTAAAGTAATACATGAGATACTTTCTTTAAAATAAAGTTTAGAGTATTGAATGTAAAAACTATCGTTTTACGGGGAAATTATGAGTCAAATATAAGACCAGGTTATCGTTTATAACTGAACCTGCCAAAAAAATCACTGATATATTTATATTTTAGTAGCTGAGTTTTTGTTGTGGATTAGTTACACAGTTTATGTTTCAAAGCTTTCATCAAATTGACTTCTTATTACTCATTTAAATAGCCATCATAAGAATCTGTCACCACCAAAGCCAGTTGAAATAACTGAGTGGAATGAGGTGTAAGTAAATAAATAAAAATACTGAACATGCCGAAACAGTAGAAAGATGCACAAATAACCACCATCCTGTTCATTGCCTCATATTCCTCTAAGCTAAGGAAAGTCAATAGATGAAGGCTTGGTTGTGCTTCTAATAAACATCTTTATTATGTGAACTTGCTAATTTAGTCATTAGTCCACCTTAAGGCCAAACTATCCGTTGAAGTCATTCTAACCAGCAGCATAGGACTAAAATAGAATCACAAAATGATCAACTTAAATGGACTTTGTTTTGGCCACCTCAAACCAGTCTATAATCAATTTTATTCGAACGATGCTGCAGAGGAGAATTATTTCCTTATCACTTCAACCTTCATCTCTCAGTAATAGAAATTTATTGTACCTTTCTATGTTAATGAATTTTACAATTATTCCAGAATTATTTGTTGTCAATACCTAATATTCTTTAAATTTACCTTGTTTGAACAGCTACAGAACTTGATGAAGAGATAAAGCAGGTCACTTGGTAGGCTTAACGACTGTCCGACTACAGTAAAAATCGAAATCAGACTGTTTATGGTCTATTTTCAAGACCACCTTGCATTTTCAAAATTTTAACCTTTAGGAATATTCTAAAGGTATTTTTATTAGCTAAACTTCAATGGTGGGAGCAGTGTTTCATAAAAATTATCGATGAATTCCCCCTTTGCATTCTACTTCCAGGTAATATGTAATCCCCATATATTTCAGGCGTCTTGCAAACCATCTATAACATTTAATGAGATATCTTGAGGAACAGCAAGTAAACTGGTAACATCATTAGCAAGAACTATGCCTGGTAAATGTGTACTGTAGTCGTGATGCTGATGTGTACGTCATAAAGTTTATTTATCTTTCAAGGCAAATGACGGTACATCAACATACATAATATTGCACTCAAAATTAACCTGTCTAATGATTTTGGCTTTTATCACCAACTTTGATTACTCTATTAATGGAAGGTGAATAAGCTTGGTAGTCGATCACCTATATGGAATATCAGTGGGACTACTCATTCTTCACTTAGTAAGACTGTCAGCTGAGATTGAGACAAGGCGACAGTGTATAATTTGATTAAATCATCATGCAGATGGCTTCACGATATCTCTGTATAGTGTTCACTGAAAAACCCATAATAATCCTGTGTAACGAGTTGAGTTTGACAGAAACCTTGAAGGTCATACCCAGCACTTATAGATTTATTCATATAACCTTCATGGTGATCTTGGTGATAATTTGAGAGATGCCAGAATGCAATTTCCACCTGCTCTTCATTCTGCATACTTTCTTTTTGTACTAATTATTTATCTCACTAAGTTGTTCGAGCACACCTTCTGTTGTGCGTAACAGAAGTTAAACATGATTGTATGATTGGTACTGGTGAGTGGCTATGTGGAATATTTCAAATTTTCATTCTCCTTCTGTTTCATTCTTCTCTGTGTAAAGGTAATGGCAGGTCGAGATATAGTTGGACCAGCTGCTCTACTATTCGAATCGTTGGATAATTTGTTTCGAAGTATTGTCAAAGTTGTAGATGAACAATATGTGAAATCGTCGGTGAATTTCGACGATGATGAGTCTATGCATTTGTTCAAATTGCTGAGAGGTAACTGAACTAGTTGTGTGTGTTTTGTTGGGTTTAGGGTGTTCAGTGTTTATGAGTTGTCCATTTCTGTCGATAAACAATTTGTGATCATAAATTGATCTGTCATTCAGATACTAATTACAATGCTGAGATACACTTGAGTTTTTTGATTATCTGGTAATTGTAGGTTACTTAATTTATGTTAATACCATTCATTCTCAACCCATTTAGTTATTCTGCTATTAAGAATTTTTATTGGATACTGGTCAACTATGGAATGTACATTATCCGTACAAATATACTGTAACGCATATCACGTTGTCATAGTTGTATTAATCTTCATAAATGCACACTGAAATGACCATCAGTGGTCAGGAACAGCATGTTTTTGCGGACGTTTAAACAATCAGCGGTCCACCACATTAGTAGGGGTTCGGTTAAGAAGCTGACGAAACGTTTCACTGCAGTGAATGTATTTCGACAGATCAATTCAGTTGGCGTGTTAAAATATCAGAGGCAATCTCACCTTTAAAACTTGATCAAAGATATATAAGCTTTTTTAGCAAAATTAGTCTGCTTTGTCATCTCTGTAGGTCATAACATGTATTTATTTATGAAGTTCAGGGGATAACAATTTCGTAGCAATGGTATTTTCGGCTAGCCACTTTTTCTTCTATGCAGTCATCGAAAGCCGTATAAAGTATTCAGCAACTCAGATATTTGCCTAGGCTTCTTTTGTATTGAATTGGTGTGAAACTATGAAAATAAATATATTGACCGGTCCAGACAATATATTAAGTTCCCTCTTAAAATATTCCCTTTAATATATCTATCAGTTTTCTTGGTGGGGAGAACATCTAGGAACGATATACTATACCCCTCCTCTTCCTCACAAGTCAACTTCATAGCTCTGTGGACACTACTGAAAATATTCAAAAGATCATCTTTATTGAAGTTCTTGTTGCAAATGATAAATGCATCAATCAAATACCGGTAATAATAGTTGTGGTTTGGGATTATGTGTGACTAGTACCAATCTTAACTTTTGTCCAACACTGTTAAAGTTGGCTTACATACTGAATTGAAGGATGAGGTGGATTGGAATACTCATCATGCTCTCTAACCACCTGAGTTAGTGAAGATTCACAGCTCTACCATCTAAATCATCTAATGTGCTTATTATTCCAAACTTATCCTATGCATTATCCATATAGTAACTTTACCACATTTGGACGATAGAATGGTGATAACGATGGTACAATATCTGTAGCTGTCGTAAACACTCCATCCTTTATGACCATGCTTTAAGACCATAAGTGAGGATAGTGCACCCTACTTCTTAGTGCATTTAGTACTCAACAAGCCTTTAGATACTGCCTTAGTAACAAAAATAATCTTCGCTGATCTACTGAAAAATTTATGTTAAAATATTAAAGCGCTATGAACACCAGACAGTAATTATTTTCAATTTGGAGGTTTGTGGGGATTTATTTATTGATTTCAAGTTAGTATTTATCGTAGATTGATATCAGTTGAAAAGCCATTGAAAACCTAGGAGCAATGGATTGCTGTTTCGTCCTAATATGAGGCTTCTCAATATCTCGCATTCACGATATCACTATAAAGCGAATCCAGAACCTTAAGGTTTCGTGGCAAGTTCGTTATCATCATTGAGCCATTGAGACGGAATACAATGGTCTACATTTTCCAACTTTTTTCAGTTCGCGACATAACAATCTCCATCTAGTGCCATCGTTAGATACTTTTCTCCACGTTCGAATTAGTTTCACGTCATTGGTCATGATTTCTAATTTGAATTTCAAGAATCTCATCCCGAACCCCTATTCAGTAATTTCGTTTTAGGGATTTGTGAAAGTAATCATTTTCATCATGAGCTACAAATATATTCTTCTATTATCATTTGATAAATGGTTTAACTTCTGAATGCATTGATTAAATAAATACTTAACTTTTCTATTGTACGCTTAACAATTTATTTATTCTGTATTTTTAATAGGACCGATGCCTACACTTATCTTCTTACACTTACTAATAACTGTGTTTAATGCAAGTTGTCTACTTTCGGGACTGATTTGTCGTGCAAACTATTTTACGAAATTTGTAAGTTATTGATTTTCTATGTTCAATGCATACTTAATCTATAAATAGGGAACTTGCATAAAAGATTCAGCTGTTGGCTTCCAGCTGTTCGTGGTTCAGTTATCTACAAGTGAATATTTCTCATATATCTACTGAATTCGCTGAAGATTATTGGAAGGAATATAGTATGTAACTGTGCTTACACAAAACATGTTTTTAGAGGCTTGACTAATCGATTTGATAATATCAACTCCACAGTAATGATTGAAACATATTAGTATTCACATAACCGGTCAGCAACTACAAATAAAGTAAGATACTGGACTTGACTGAACTCTTTTCACTGGTATAATGACCTAGTTGGATCAATGAGGATGCAATAATGCTACTACATTAATGATAAGCAAACAAAACCTATCAACTATTGTACATTTGATATCTGTTTTTAAAATTATTAGTGAAAGTGTATCTGTTGATGAAAAGTTCAATGTCAACCATAATAGTTAACGCTTTGTGAAACAATTATCTTCTGTATTCACAAACATGAGTTTTCTCTTTCATCATACATTTTGAAGCAGTACTTTGATGCATAGTTGATAGTAGGATAGTATTTTGATGAAATCATTCAGCATAAGAGTTATTACTTCTTATCAAATCTCTATAACTAGAAAGAAGGAAGAACAGGGAATGAAGCACTTTCTCCTCATTTGTTTTGAGTTACTTACAATCAGAAAAATATTGAAATGAAATCATTAGAAGTAAAGCTCAAGTTCATTGTGTTTCTCTGAAACTACTGTCACGAAAATGTGCAGAAGTAATTTATGTAAATTAATTGGTCATTGAAGTGTAACTAAATTCATGCTGCTCATTCTAAGTGCAGATCCAATTTTATCGATCATTTTACAGTGTTGCCACTAGACTAGTAAACTGACTATCATAAGGTACTAGCTTAGTTGGATGACGAACATCAGCAGGAAGCCCTGGATTTAGTTTTCGTACTTTTTAGCTTAGTTATAACTTATCTCAGATGCGATGTCAATTCTGTCTAGGTTTAATGTGAGCCTTTCTGACCAGTACTAAAATGTACGAAACGTAGGTCCAAGTCTTCCCGTAGATTACCTCCATCCAACTAATTAATTAAATTACTTAAAAGGTTCAGATGCCACTCTGATTGTGCCACTCTCTGTGATTTGACAAAGTATATCCCATATATTACTCGGCCATTTCTATTCCCTCTCTTCTCTCACTTTATTCCTAACCCTACTTCTGTTATATTCGTTGTTTTCACAGCTGCTTGATCCATGGTGTCATATGTTCAAACAGCCTAACACACCTAATTAATCACGTAATAAAATATAAAGGTTGTTACAGTGACGATAAATATCTTTTCAGTGACTTGTTTTTAAAACTGTACTTTCGTAGATCTATAATTCAAGGGAACCAAAGTCATTAGAACAAGAAAGTTAACTTTCACAAAAAAGTATAAGAACATCACGTAACTTGAGAAAAGTTTGGAAGATTACAGAAATTTAGTGAACAAAGAACTGAAAAACCAAATAAGAAAAACTGCTTAATAAAAACATTTTCTTGTAAAAAATTATCAGGCGTGTACAAATAAAGGTCATTATGTTAGCGAAAATGACCCCACATATATGTTGTTAGCTTTAGTGATGCTTGAATATGAGGATTGCTAATGTTTAAGCTGCACGTAAACGTCTTTTTCTTACGCTGTTTGAACGAATTGGTTGAACTTTGAAAGATTTACCGAGAGGATCTGAGTGTTTGAAAATCTTTATGTGCTCATTGACAGAGTTAGAAATTGCCATTCATTTCCCTTTTCATAGCCAACCTGAGTAGTTTATCTACAAACTCAAAATACACTACAACAAAATGAACTGTGATGTTGTATCACATATCCTAGCAGTCACTTTACAGTCATTGTCGATAGGCGTTGATCATTAATCACGATGAACGGGAGAAACCTGAAGGAAGTAGTCTCTTTCACCTACACGTAACTAGGCAGCATCGTCTTAACTACAGGCTGTCGCATAGATGAGAAGGTTATAGCCAGAATCAGAAAGACAGAAAGACAGGCGTTCACTAACACTAACGAAAGCATTTCCCACAAACTACAGACATCTATCAACAGATGCATACGCGGGTTCGATAGTGAAGATCCGATGGGCAGAATGATAAGAATGAGCATCAAGGAACTTTAGTCTGGCAACGAACTAACCAACAGCCCATCGCCCGATAAATATGCAGAAGAAAGGGGAGGTGGATTGGATTCGGTATACACTTAGAAGGCCGACTGGTAACATCTTGCCCCAGGCCAGACCCTGGAGTGGAACCCAGATGGGAAACGACGAGTTGGGCGTCCGTGGAGAGGGTGACATGGAGGAGATGGTGTGAGGAAGAAATGAGAGCTTGTGGATAGTGGTGAAGACAGGTTTAGAAGACTGGAGGGAAGACAGTGAAATGTCAGCTGATTGATTTTGAATGAAACTATGTTTGCATTACAGTACAGTAGTTGGAAAATTACCCATCTGTGAGAGGTGACTGCGTGAACCGTATGGTCTATCAGTAAACTACAAATTACTTGTCCCTTTAAATCAAATGACTTATCCGAATCAGTTGGTGTAACACAGTTCACCAAGACACTCTGCACATCATTTCAGTTTCAAATGAATGAAAAGAGTGTTGAAAGCTTGCATTATTCTGGTTTGATTACTGAAATACGCAGATCAATTTGATATATTTTTAATAAGTCATTTTAGAATAGGCTTAATTCATTTCTATATATACATGACATATCAACTTTCACGGACACCTTAAGTAATTAAAAGAGAAATTAAATGTACCTTATACTCTTAACTGATTGTACAGTCTATTGTGAGATAAATTTCTTCATGAAAATATGATTAAAAAAGTAATAGGCTGACCGTTGTTGTTGTTGCTACTGCGTCTTAATTATTGACTAAAGTTTATTGATTAATATACAGTATGGTTACTGAAGCGTATCATATGATTCTACAGTATACTGTATTTTGCATCATATGCTTTTTAATCAGTTTATAGAAAACTATGAAGATGAAATGAATGAAAGAAAAGGATTTATGCGATAAATAATCACATGAATAAAAACGTGAAATCTTTTAGTGGTTAAATTATTTATTATATGCAATTATTGATTTTAAGAACAATCAAGAAGCAATAAGGAATTCATGATTTTTTATTGTTTACCTTACTTAGCCAAAATAATCAACATCTGTTGGTGTAATAAGGGACACCAGGAACCTGAACAATCTGAAAACGTGTTAAACGATTGGAAGTAATCAAAAGGAAGTTTTGTTCAACCTACGTCTCGTACTTGTTAGTACATTTCATCAGGGAGTATCCGCAACCTCATGGGGAATAGCATCCCCTTAGAGATTGAAACTATGCCGCAGTCAGAGACTACACCGCTGAGTTATTCAGGAAGCTATTGACCTATTATAAGAAAGGATTAGATATACTGATTGGTCACTGAACAGCAACCAATTTCACGCTGTCTATCTCTTAGTACTGAACAAATTCCGTCAACTATTTTATAACATGGTGACCGAACTAAATAATTGACCGTCTCATTGCACTTTGACTGATGCGAAGTGGTTGGTGACCACATTGCAAAGTGATCGATAGACTGAACAAAGTGAAAGCGGTCAATCTCCAATGACCAATCACCATAAAATGGTGTTCTTTTTAAGACCATCTTCTTTAGTGAAACACAAAACTGCATGAGTTCTGTAGCCTAAAATAATATACACCAAGTGAAATTCATTTTACCTTTGACACGTCACTGATGATACAAATTCTCAGGCCATGCCGTAGTTGAAACTCTGAAGATTGTAGTTTTTTTTAATTTTAGTGCCTAATATAGTACCTACATAAAACTACTCAAATGAAATCAGCTATATTCAACAGAATCAACAAAATACGCCACATCTACTATTCATGAGTTCTATTTACTCATGTAACGAGCTGGTTAAAAATTTTCTGTTTCACAATCCATATAGGTCTATAAATGAAAAGCTATAATCCATCAGCCTTAAGGTAGTAGGCATGTAAAATGTAGTAGAATTTCACCAGCCATAATAACTGCTTGAAGTCGAAAAGTATGGATCAGTTAATCTCAACCTAGTAGTTGTGCAGTGATTGAACAGTCACCAGAGCTAGTCATTGTAGTCTTAAGAAAGTATGCTTCTGAAGATTTTCAATTTATTATGAAGCAACTAATCAGTCCACCTCAATTCTCACATGATGTCAATGCATAAAGAACGAAGATTAGCAAACTATTCCAAATAAAAATCAATGTTTAAACATATTGTATATATAAAAATAAGCATTTCCTCAATCATATCCATGTTTATTTCGTTTTGTTTCAGAACATTGTTTTTATGGGTTTACTTCTGATTATGGATGCTGGTGTGTTTTTAACCTTGATTTATGTAAATCATAGAACGGTAAGTCCTTAAGTGAATTTCAATGAAACTGCAATCATAAACTGACAAGATTATGAATAGACAATAATCTTCTAAATAAATTTTCACCAGATTCTGTAGTTATAAAAAACGGAATTACTCAGCGTAACATATATTTCCTGCAAACTTACGCTGTTTTTGTGCTGAATATTCTTTTCGTTGGCTTATTCTTTTCAACAAAGCAAGTAAAAGTATAGAGTTTACAATAAAATATGATCAGGATGCGCAGTTTTGCTTCACTTGTCTCAAAATTCAACTATTATGCAAATATTTATATGTCGTAAGGGTTCTCAGAGTCGAATGTATCTAAATTGCAACAGGTTATAAAAGAAAGCCTAGTGAAAACACTTTTCAGTCACTTAAGATACCTTCGTTCGAAAGAGATACTGGAAGAAAAAAATGATTATTGTTGAAAATAGCCTCCATGTTAACAGATATTTGCGGAAATTCATCAGTAAGTCAAAGGATAGACCAACTAAAGCCGTAAATTGTGATACAGTTAAGAGGAAGCTTTTTTCTTAAGTGCTGGTTTTAAAGCTGGCAATGGATATAAGGGAATTAATGGCGGACTAAATACCGTCTTGAAGTGGGCCTACACAGCTGCAAGGTCAACATACCAAATGAATAGCTCAGCGAGACAATCCATGGTTGACAAGTCCCCTTTTCATGATACTGACAAACGTAGAGATGGATTTCCAAGGACGCAACAAAGCACATAAATTGGAAGTAAAGGAAAATTGGTTTGTGACCACATTCTTGAGTATATTTCAAGGAATCCGCTACCGGGAAGCGGAAAAGTCTTCAACGCCGTTATTGTCCGCCTCTTTATTGATAGCAGATAAGAAGGTGATATCAAGAAACCAATTAAAATAATTAATAAACAGGTGAGTTCAAACTTATCATTTGGTTATCTCAGATAGCCGTAGATTGGCAGACTAGTATTTATGCTGGGTGATAAACAAAGGTAAAATGAAAATCTGTACTATGGCCGTATTCGAACCAGTGACCACCGGGTTTTCGGCCCGGTGTTCTACCAGCTGACCTCGCAGCTTAGTTTGTTGAGCAACGGGCCAGAAACCCAGTCGTCACTGGTTCGAATAAGACTGCGGTGCAGATTTTTATTTCACTTTCACTACCGAGTCACAATCAACGGAAGAAACTTAAAGGAAGTAACCTCCTTCACCTATCTAGGAAGCACTGTTTCAACTACAGGCGGCACAGACGAGGATGTCTAAGTCAGAATCGGAAAAGCAAGACAGGCCTTCATTAGCCTGAAACCAGTGTGGAGATCTGCTGCACCCAGCATGCGGAACAAGATGCTGATTTTCAACACCAACTTTTGTTAAGTCAGTGCTTCTGTATGGTTCAGAGACTTGGAGCCTTACGAAAGGGATTTCCAATAAACTACAGACATTCATCAACAACTGCTTACGCTGGCTCGCTAGTGAAGATCAGATGGCCAGAAAGAATCAGTAACAAGGAGCTCTGGGAACGAGCCAACCAAGAACCTATCACCCAACAAATATGCAGAAGGAAGTGGAGATGGATTAGACATACATTGAGAAAGCCGACTGGGGACATCACGCGTCAGGCCCTCGAGTGGAATCCCCATAGGAAGCGACGAGTTGGACGTCCGAGGGTGACATGGAGGAGGTCGTGCGAGGAGGGAATGAGAGCTTGTGGACTGTCGTGGAGCCAGGTGGAAAAGATTTCGGCGAACAGAGTTCACTGGAGACATGCTACTGAAGCCCTATGTTCCATTAGGAACCCAAAGGACTAATATATATATATATATATATATATATATATATATATATATATATATATATATATATATATATATATATATATATATATATTCACTACCGAGTATGAATTCGAACCTGTTGCACTGTTCTGAATCAGTAGCCAAGACACAACTAAAACCAAACTTATCTCTTCAGTAAAAGACAGCTGTTAGTCCACGTCTAACGTAGTAAGTATTATTATATTGTTGATAATTATGATGTCTCAAAGTGTCAGTATCGATTCAAACCCCCATTGTTATTCTGATTCAATCCATTGACCTTACTGTCTGAATTCTACTCATCTCATTTCCTTAACAAGGATAAATCCTTTAACCTTTATATATGTGACCTTTCTCAGATTTAGAATGCGTATGTTCCTCACCTTTCTATCCAACTTACGCTCTAGAATATTTGTGAGTTTATTCACATACAGACAAACTTATTATGTTCTAAATTAATGTCTTCAACTACAGCATTTCAATGTTATCTTTATTTCAAGTCGATGATTTTCTATGAGATTGATTCAAGTATGAAAAACCTGATACTAAAGATACTTTGGATTGCCACCAGCTGATAATATACCTCTAAATATGATGGATCTTTGCTTTTATTAAGACTGTTGCTCTCACTGTACCTAAACTTGTAAACAACTCCAATCCTCTGTCGTTGTCCGTTTCACTTAAAGTGAGTCAGTCTGAAAATGACTTGCAGTCTTTATTTTAAAACAAACAAGCCACACGTTAGCTTCCCTCCACAAAAACCTCAAAACCAAAGCGACTAATTGATTCTTTAACAAATAAACCAAACCCGCTAGTTATGCGTAAAATTCAAAACATAGGATTTGTCAGAAGTAATTACGGTACTGCATTACTGGACAACAATGACCAATAAATTACAGACCTAGGAACATGAGGTGTCTATGAGCCTTTAACCGTCAAAAAACCTTATAGGAAGTGCATCAACACCATAAACAGAATAGTTGTGTCAACGGTAAAGCAGTCAAAATGAGGAAAATGTGTGGATTCCAAGGGAAAAGTGGAAGGATAAGGCAGATGAATGTTCAAGGGAAAATATAAAGCCGGGAAAACAATCAAATTGAGAATAGCACAGTCATAAATTGGGAAAGACTGCAGTATTCTAAGATGTTAAATGAAAAAGAAAATATGATTCAAACCGAAACAAATAAAGGAAGCTGAGGACACAGTTGTATACTGACGCTACTTATCAATAGTAAGTAGTCCCAAACTTTATGCATAAAATTAGAACGATGTGAGAGGAGGATGAATACTATATTTTTCGAAACTACTATATGAAATCACTCAAATATACCAGCTTGTTCTAACATGCATTTAACCTACTTCTACAAGACAACGGCAATCAAAGATATTCGCAAAATGGCTTCAATCCTAAATGATATTATAAACCAAGTGAATTATTATTAGCAGTAGCAGTGTAAGTGCATTAAAACGTCCTGAAATTTTGAAACATAGAGATACACACTTCCTGACCTGGTAGAAACCAACCTCACTTCAATGCCGGACTTAAGAAACCGTAATACTAATAATTACAGATAACAAGAGACTGTAAATAAATGTTGTTGCTTCTGAAACACATTCTAGAAATGTGACTACACGTTGCCTTAAACATGCACGTATCTGGACGTAAATGGGCATTGTAAAACTACAAGTTGAAGACTGAAGCTCAGCTCGAAGACAAAGATAGCAAGGCTGTTTTTAAGGGCGAACTGGCTAGCAATTTACCGGAAAATGGTAGTTTTATTCATCTTGAAGAAACCTAACAGTCTATTGTAAAAACCGTGGTAGACACTATGAATGACCCTAAGTAGAAAGTATGTATCAGCCAGTAGATTTCAGTAACTTCATTCCAGATAATGGGTGTAACCAAATGCTTTCCTGTAAGCTTTGGACACAGCGAAAGAAAGAAGTAGTCCCAAAGAAAATCAGTAAAACGTCTACCTGGAAAATTTAAGAAGTGGTGACGAGAGAAGACTTTGAAGATGGAGAAATGTAATGAATAGTTTACTTTCATTTTGGAGTCACTGTAATAGTGAATCTGTTCATTGAAGGCTCTACCTAATATAGCTAAAAATATATCGGATTCATACCATATTGTTGTTCGTCACAATGCTTTTTTTTGTTGACTATGACTGATCCCTTTTGACTTTGGTCTAGCTTCCTTGTCTTGATCCACTGCTTGAGGACCCCTTAGTTTCTGTCTAAACATAATATTTCCACGTTCAAAATTAGTAGTGACCAAGTGAGTGAAAAAAGTGTTTTGCGTATTTAAAATGCGATTTATTATCTGTCAGCGGTTACATCACGCTCTTTTGCAGTCTCAGAATGAGTTTTTTAGATTTTCATACCCGGAACTTCAACTTAATTTGATTTTATGACTGTATAACCTGCAGAGAATTCATTGGAAAAAGCTTTTTTCATTCTTACTCCAGTTCCAATATTTAGTGGTGTTTATTTAACAAGATCCCAGTATCCTTTATCAGGTTACCGCATATTCTGCAGCAGCCAAGCTGACAGCTTTAACTGAAATTGGCTTTTTTATACGTATAAATGTAATCCAGTCTTAAGTGTGATCATTTCAAAAATTCTATCTTAATAGTTATACTCAACAGGCACAACTCCTGAAAAACTGAGACAAATGCATAACTGTTTGGAGAAATGCATCAACTGAAGACTGAATAATGACCGTATACATCTCATTTAAACTTACAATAACAATGGTCACATTGGATAATCGGTTGTTCATTACTTCAATTCATGTTTATCATCCATTTTTCGCTTTTTGTACAGTGTAAATATGGCTTAAGTTTAGATCATTGTAGTAGTCTTCTTCCTCTAGTAACACATGTGCCACGACTTAAATAAGTGTTCCTTACTTAAGATGTCTGCTCACTGAAAATGAATGGAAGTTGTTCTATGTTTGATGAAGTTTTCACGCTCATCTACTGCCAATGAATTGCTAACCGTTAATATCGTCAGATTTGTCAAAAAGGTATTCTGATGTTGTCAACTTCCAATCAGTTGTATTCACTAGTTAGTACGCTGCGACAGTTATGAGAAACCCCAATAGTCATTAATTTCGTGCAAGTGTTGACTAGAAGTGTGTACCAGTATGAATTCACAAGCTGAGGATGGTTGTATATCTGTTTTATCTTATCACATTAGCTAATGTTCTCTTACCCTTTAGCATTTCAGACTATTTCAGATAAAAAATTCTCTCTTCATTCTTTTTAGCATCTAACGAAATTCGTACAAGAATTACAAACAGTTCAAACAAAGTATTCGGGCGCTGAAACAGATAATTTTCCAACCTTACTATTCAATTACATACATCAACATGTAAGCTGAGAGTAATAAACTGTCTACTGAGCTGATGTTGCAGCTTTCAGTTTCCCATCTTTGATTCAACCAAAATGATCAACCTTTTTCAAGCATATGAGCACCATGGTGGATGCTTTGGTATTACCCGTATTTCAGGTTTGACACCAATGGTGGTTAGTGGTTAGCAGGTAAATGCGGAATACTCATTTCAGCCCGTTCGGCTACTCGTCAGCTGGATGTACCTGCCTTTCGATGAGTGGTATTATTCCGCTAAAACTGAAACTAGCAACTGTCAGTTCAAACTACGGAATGTCATCTACTACGCTAATGAATTATGCCAGTGTATCTATGAAAATCTTCAGGTTTAAACAGGTTAGAAGCAGGAAAAGATCACGGAAGGCACATAATTGTAACACAACAATAAAATGATGTGAATTAGGATAACACAGAAATAGGATAGGCTTAACAGACTTCATTAAAATTTGAACAGTTCTTAGTATGTCGATACTTACAAACAGCAGATCTCGGCCAGCAAAAGTTTTCATTCTGTTTCTAGTTTAAGACTGATAACTCTAACCAATCTCATTTCTTGGCATTTCATCCCTTTCTCGCTAAGCTCAGTACACAAGGAAGTGATAGTCACTATCGACTTCTTTCTGGAAAAAAGACGTCTATGCAAACATATTACAGCTCTGTTTGCTAAGCACAGTTGATTAAAAAGGTTATGCAAAGTGGCAAGTAGAACGCACAACTTGACACCGATGCAATTTACTGAAGCTTATGATTTAGAAATTTAGAGTCAGTTGATAGAAAGCCTTACTGCCTCTAGGTTTCATGGTTATTATTACTCATCAGGAGGACGTATCTGAAACCATAAGGAGATTGTTATTCCTTCAGTAATTCGTACCTTCATCATTCAGTTCTGAAGCAACATACCTAACCAATAAGCTACTAAGGGCTAGATAAAAACATCGATTACCCACTGGTAGACAACTCATGTACATAGTGCAGTAAAACAAGAGTTGGTCTTGATCTGAGTAGCTTAGTGGTAAAATCTCTTATTTCAGCACCAAGTGATTCAGGTTTGAACTGCAGTGAGCATTAACTTCGTCTTAGCTGCAGATATACATTAGTGATAAATGCAAACAGGCATAAAATCTAGGCAGGGTAGATCTCCCTGCTAACTGATTCCCATCATCTAACACCGAAATGGAATGCATCACAGCATCGCGTCATTTGACTCATTTATCACATGGTAATAACTTGGTCTAGAGATTTTTATCAGCGATAAGCATCAAAGATTAGATGGCTAAATAGATTTGTTTGGTACTTTCAAGTGTCTTTAACACTTTGGCAGAAGTATACTTTCTGTAATGACAATGTTTGCTCCCTATATTACATCATAAGCGGCACTACTTACTCCTAGTGATGTAGCCAATTAGTCACCACCGATTTGTGTAATGTTAGTGTTTGTTAAAAGTCATTTAGATCGATTTGGAATGACTTTCAGAGCGAGATGTTCATTTTACAGAGTTAAGTATGTAGAGCGACAAGTATGAAGGTGAACGTTATTTCGATAGTCAATTTGAAGACGATGAATTCTTCTTTTCCAATTTTCCTTCAAGCCTATTCTAATGTATTAGCATAGATGGGAAATGCGATGTTAATCCATCCACTTTGATAACTGATATTATGAAGTCCATACTTCACTACATTTATACTCGAATGCCTTTTTAGGGGTCATTTCAATCTCAGTTTCTACTGACTACTATAACATAGAGAGTATGGTCGCTTGGATCGATGTACATAGCTGTGCAAACGCTAGATTACCTCTGTCAAGAGAGATTCTTATCTCAAGGTATTTTAACAACCAATTAATTCGCTTCCATATGAAGGTCTGATTCACCCACGGTTATGTCTATCATGACATTAAAACGTTTGCCAAATAAAATCTCAGCTCAGAGGACAAGTCACTCTGAACATTCACATTCTGAGCCATAACCATTAATAATAATAATAATTATAATAGTTCATTTTATTCCAAACCATTTTTAGTACAATTTGGAATTCTCAGCATGATATACTACAACAAAAACAACAGTATATAACCCTGTGCAACATTTCGCAGAGGGTTCTAATAATGTAATGTAAAGAATATTAGTGGCAAGAAAGTCTTTCATTGTTAATTAAATTGTTGAAATGAGATTGTTAACAGTTACAAAATTGATACGTGAGTTTTGTTTCAAGACATTTTCTCTCACACAATATACATACTGGATAAGGTGTAGCGGAATTCTTGTACTTAGCTTTAAGAGTGTATAGTCCTCCATGAGGAAATATAAGGAGAGGACTGTGAATGAAGTGGATACTAAGTGTTATTATTCTTTTCAAGACACAGTCTTATACCTTGGAACACTGCTGACTATAAATGTGCTAGTATCTAGTGATTATGAAGCGTATTTAGTCAAACTTCCAATCAGCACTACTCCCTTCCCAGAATTTGTTTATATTAGGTGAAACTTAGTATGCATCTAATGGACATATAATTATTGAAACTGTTTTTTTTAATCTTAATTCTTATCGTTTTACTCAGTTGAATTGCTGCGGTATTCATAGTTATACTGAATGGTTTAATTCAACTATAAATTGGAAAAGAGAAGTGACTTATAATAATGTAACTTATAGTAAGTTCTCTGGTTATTAATTTTCTTTAATCAGCTCACCTGAGGTTGAGTTACATACGCAAAAAAGACTGACTGAACGAATAAATATATTTCCTTTTCGATTAGAACCTCATCTTTGACTCTATACTAATGTGTAAGTTTACAACTAGTGTCAAACTTTCAATGTGAATATCTGAGATACCAGTGGTTGGTGGATTCATAATATTGATAGTCAGTGATGATTGGAGGTAAAATGAAAGTATTAGTTATAGCAGGATTAGAATCAGTGGCCCGAAGATTACCACCTTAATGCACTACTAAGTGACTTGTGAAACTCAGCTGCTGTGTAGATCTGCAATCACCAAGGATTTTGCCCGGTTTTCATGTAAATCCATGATACGTAACATTTTATTCATTGAGATTACATTGGCCGTCCAACCAGGTTTTCAGAGATCACCCAATGTCAGTAATGGGAGCCTGCTAACCATAGCTATCTCAAATTGTCACGCTAGTAATTGACGTTCCTTCTCTCTAATTCACCTCGATTTGGCTTCGGCGAGGTGACCAAGCTGGACAGCTAGTGTAATCATGACGAAAAAGGCAGTTACGGGACATGGATTCACATAACAAACAGGCAAAACTACTGGTGATTGAAGTAAGCTTGTGATCTATTCAACAGCTATGTCTCGTCGCTGAGTTGGTACAGCACTAGGCTCGAACCCCGTCGTGACTTAGATTTCCATTCCACTTTCAATCAACATCCACTATCAATAATATCAAAGGACTAATCACGTGGTCAGAAAACTAACAGTAGTTACAGATTTTGAGTAAGTCATGAGGATAGTAAAACTGAGCAGTCAAGAAGCAAATAACCAACATAGTAATTAAATGGAGTTAAAATTAGTAACCATAATAGTATGGAACAGTCTATTATTTGTCAAGTTGCATAATTACCTGGTATTTTATGCTTATTGATACCCATATCCACATTAGCTAGTGTTTCGCTATTACCGTATTTATCTTCGCTATTAATGACGGATAGTGGCAAGTAGTGGAATCCAGGAAGCTCATTTACATCTATTTAGGACTCGTCAGCTGGATGTACCTGCCTCTCGGTGAGCGGTGCTCTTCCCACTGAGATTCGAATCCAGACCTGGTCGCTTCACGCCCCAGAGTGTTATCCACTAGGCTACCGAGTTTCTATAGCTACTTTTTATGCAACGGACATAGTTTATATATATATATATATATATATATATATATATATATATATATCATCGTTGACTGGACTGAATTGATCTGTATCTGTTGGCATATTATTGGAATAATTTGATCTCACACATTTATCATTCTGTATTTTCGTGTTAATACGTAACCTCTCCCACTTACGTCGAATCTTATCTCAGTCATTTGGGAACATTCCTCACCTTGCTTTACATAACCCTCATAAAGTTTGACTCAATTTATTACTTGAACTTCGTTTTCGTTCTGAATTATAATACTTCTGATCTTAAAACAATTAGCCGGTATCTTACAGAGCTGTGTATAAGAATGGAGGTCACGGTATATCACGAATTGAAAGAAGCAGAAGAATGTGGACTACTGAGTTCTGACTCACTGGCTCCGTGGTAACGTGCTCGCCGCAACACCTGCAGATCCAGGGTCCTGTCCCTGGTGGGGTTGTAGGTGCGCACTGCTGAAGAGGCTCATAGTAGGGAACTACGAATCAGATGTGCAGCGCTGTCAGGTCTTTAGTGGTTATCCGACTGATGTCGGTGCATGATGAATACCAACTTGAAATCAGTCAGTTCCCACAAACCTTCAAACGCCGGAGCGTTATCTACTACACCACCGAGCCACGATAGCCACTTATGCGATGGATATAGTTTTAATTTTGTTGCTGATAAATCGCAACTGGGTCAAACACACGTCCTGAATTCCACTGCTAGGCACTACCAATCATTAATATATAAATGAGACACAGGTAATATCGAGGCATATATGCACGAGCTCATCTATCAATAGACATAGATCAGTTCAGTCCAATCAACAACGGGATAATACAAGCAACAACAATGATCGATAACACTCTGATATTTGAAGTGATAGGTTATAGGTTAGAGTTTCATTAGGAACAAAATCATTCACTGAGAAACAGTTGAACCCATTGACGGGTCCCAAATGGGATGAAATCTTTGTACTGGATTTCATTGTTCGTCATTATCCATTATTAGCATTGAACCTGAATAACCGGTGATATTGAGGTTTCCATATACTAGTCCAAATGTCGATAGTATTCGATCAGGTCAGTCCAGTCAACGATGATAGATTACGAGCTACAGAATTCATCAACTACGTTAGCATCCAGTTTATAATGAAGGCAGATTTTTGACATGTGAAATCATAGCTCGACTAAAAATGTTACTTACTGATGAAAACAATGCTAACAAACAGTAAATAATCAAAAAATTAAGGGCTCAGGATTTTGAATGTCATCTAAGCTGATTCTCCGTCGATCACAACCAACAGTGTTTTAACTAAGTTTTGGCAAATACATTTTATTTGTATAGTCATTAAACCCTTTCAGGTTTTTGCATATTTATAAACTAAACCAGAAAACAGTTATTTCTCATGACAGAAATATTGTTTAATCTCATAACAGATACATTCTGTTTAAGAGTTCAGATACGAGACAAAACTACAACACAGACTAGTAATTCAATGTTGACTTGTTGTGGAATAAATTAATTTTTAATCATACATTAGTTGGTCACTGCAGAGTAGCCAATTTTCATTTTGTCCAGTCCTATTTTAATCATGTTCAATAACTCACCTGTATAAAATTTATCAAAATTTAAAAAAACGTTTATTTTCTTTTAGAAATTGTTTTACCTATTAGCTGTTGCCCAAATCTAACCATTGGTCACTTACCGGACTGTGCGCAGTTGAACACCTCTCACCAACCATTTACTCAAGTAAGTTCATATCAAAAAAGGGAAATTTAGGATGTAATATTTGTCTTTTGAATAGGGTTTAGCCAAATTTCACTTGATTTACTGTATGTTAATGACAAGCTTCATGATAAGTCAAACATGGTGAGAAGATTAAAGTAGGCTATTAATTAATGATGGAATCGATTGTTGAACTCTGTTGTAATTTAAGCTTACGTTAATCACTTCTTGATATCAAACAAGTGAAATACGTGAACATGTTCTAGATAAATCTATACCTGTAAGTAGTTTGAGAAAGTGAGGTCAGCTTTTATCATCGTCATATCTAGACAAACTCACTATGTAATCGTACGAATCTTAAAGTTCCTTCATGCAACGTAGATTGGTTTATATATGGGCCAGTTTCTTTCACGATCTTATCTTGTTTCCTCAAAGATCTCCCTTAAGTTGGTCAGCTTCTACATAAAACAGTAACTTTCCCCTAATAACTAATTCAGTCATGCAGTCAGTATCAACACAGGACCTGGTATTACTGCTCAGCAGCCAGATTTGCCACACCTAATATCAGCAAAACAAACTTAAAATATAGAGAAATAGTGAAGGAAGTAGTCGAAAGTGGTGAACAGTTGTGAAAAGAAAACAAGAAAGAGTGAAACAGTAGTGAAATTAAAATAAGATGACGATAATCTTTGAATATATCTGCTTCCTTAAGATCAATTTGAAGCCAGGTCAACAAGAGTCTCCATCCACCGATATCTCTTATCACGTGAACTCCAACCAAGAAGTTTACATTCCCTCACTTCATTAACCGATGACATGTCATAGTCTGCTTGTCTATAACCTCTTTTTAGCCTCAACCTAGTTCAGGTAACATCATGTAACTTGGAAAATGGTGAATAGGCATGAGCAACACATGTTTCAGATATTTTAATTGATTAACGTTCACTAACTTTCCTCTTTTCCTTGAAAATCTATGCCTGACCATTGCATTGCTGATGTGGTGGTATCACGACACGCGGCTTATTCTACTAAGGCAGTAGTGATCGAACCCCTAAAGCCTTCTCATGCATTCTGCTTTCAGTGGCCATGAGACAAAATAGTTCTTCTCTCCACACGGAGTTTATCGTTATGAAACTTTATGTGAGATACTGATAAATCAGCAGTTTCCATGCCTGAAGAAAATATTTTATAATTCAGGGCAGCTAATAGTTAGCTGAGATAAAAAAAGAGTTTCATGATACGGTTAGTAGGTAACACTTATTTGGTGAGGAAAGATAGACAGTGCAGAACAAATAATTTTTATTTGACCTTCCTCTAGTCATCGAATAATGAAGTCGAATATGAGATTACATCTCTTATGATTCTACAGAAAAAGCTCGAAACTACGCGTATACATACAAACTTATGACAAAGAGAAGTGAATAATAGAATAAAAATGAGTAAGTTACTAAGAGACTGCCGCATTTGACAGCTCATAAAGCATCAAACAGACAGACAAAATCAACGCAGAATATTGCCTACAGGCGGTACATCGCCTCAAGTTGCCGCACTTTACAGTACTATACAAAAAACATGTGGATAGAAAAAGACTGATATCAAAGTAGACAAAGTAGTGTGACAGAATAATCAATCTGAAGATAAAGGCTAGTGCAAATATTCAAGCCTCAGGAAGTATCAATGAGTGAATATATTTGCGCCATTGTGACTGATTGTAAGCCAAGTCAACAAGACTCCTCAATCCAACTATTTCTATCGTCTCGAGGACCCCAACCAGATAGTCTAAATCTTCCCACACAACTTAGACTAACGGTAGAAGACTGCGCCAACTGGTACTACATCTTGTTCTGGCCATCCTGAACCCTCTTCAAGCCTAATCCAGCTTTCGCTAGCATGGCACGTCTAGGTAGGGGGTGGCTCGGCATGTGCAGTACATGTTCAAGCCATCTTCATTGACTAAAGTTCATAACCTCTTCAATCTATTTGTCAGTCTTGCCTATTACTCTTCACCTGATGTCGCTAGGTGATCCCACTAAATGCAAGCAATGCTACGAAGAAACCTATGATTAAAACCTTGTAACCTCTTCTTATCTTCTTCCTTTACCGACACAGTATCTTCTTCCCTATATATATATATATATATATATATATATATATATATATATATATATATATATATATATATATATATATATATATATATATATATATATATATATATATATATATATATATATAGTCATTTGCAGAGACTATCAAAATAACCTTGAGGTGATGCCCACCGCTGTTTAACGTATGGGAACATGAATTTGTTGATATCTGTAATTCCTCCCTATTTAGACTGAATCAAATCGACCGATCTCTCCAGATGGGTTGGCTTCTGTGAGGATCCCAACAGGGGTTGGCAGACTCGGTCCAGTAGAACAACGGGAAATTATATTTTCAATTAAATAGCAATTAATACCCGTTACACAAGAGGTGGCTGTATGTCTTAGTGACCTTTGGAGCGATGGGTAGTGGGTTCGGACCTCAGTGGAAAACACTATAACTCAATGAAGTGCAGAAACATTCAGCTGACGAGTCCCAAATAGGACGGAACGGGCCTCCCGGATTTCACTACCAGCCATCGCCAAAGAAGGATGAACGTAGATTGTTGTAATAATATGATATTCTTTAAGCATTTCATAACATTCTTCTTCGGTTAACTATGTGTCGTCATGTCAGCTGCAGACACCGCTGTTGGTACGAAACCATTTCACATATACCGTATCATTCTAGTCTGTAATCACATATTCCGCAACTTACTCGATTACTGGAGGACTTATTGTGGAGCTGAGGCTCAGTGGTTAAGGTAGATGACTAATAACCGTTAAGTCACTGGTTCTAGCCCCGCTCCATCTAGGGGGTTTGGACAGCCAAGTGGTACCCTGGCCCTCACATAACAGATATGTTTTACTGCCTACTGCACAAATGTGCACAAGGTGATCGAATGCGTTTCGTTTCTTTTTCGGAGGTTTTATGAGGGTTCATTGTACGCTATGTGATGTTCACCAGAAGCATCCAATCTCCGTATTTTCATTTAAATTCATCATAAACATGAAGGCTACACTTTTTGCTGAGAAAACAGTCATTAGTGTCTTCATTTTTAGATTTTTGATTCATATAAATTACACAGGTGAAAAAAAAGTTTATTAAGTTAAATTGCCGACAAATATCAGTCTTTTTTCATATCGGTCTACAAGGCAGTTTTTAGAAGTTCAGTGTACATTTCTTACCAACCAAATGAAAATTGTTACTTAGGTTTCTGGTTGGAGGAAATGTACATCTGGAAAACATAGAGTGAAGTGAATGAATTGGTTAGCTTCTTTCACTTGAAATTCTGAATAACAACCTGTAGTATAGTGGAAAACACTTGATTGGCTTCCACAAGCACATTTCACTTATGACACTGTCGTAATAACAGAAACTCTGGTGCCAAATTGTACTGCACAGTAAAACATTCGGTCCTAGTAAACGGTAATGAAAAATATATGTAGAAGTTGGACATATTACAAATAGTTCAGTTATATGACAATTTATATCTTTGGAAAACCAACTACCTGTAATGAAATCATAGGTTGAACAACGAGGATTCTATTTATCGCATACTAAGTAAAATTGAAGTTGAACCAACATTATCTTAAGTGCTTGAATAGTGTGCTATGCAGATCCAGTCACCGTTTATTTAGTTGAATTGTGCAAACTGAACGATATATTTTAAAAATGTCTAAAAGTGATCAGAATTGCACAGAATAAACTTGTAAACTCTGTTTCGCTTTGTTTGAGCTTTCCAAAGAAGTGAAGGCTTTCTGAATAAGGTTCACAAGACACCATAAACCAATAACCCAAAACTTTTAATGACATCATAAAGTCTATCACAGAATCTTGAAAATTGTTGCTATAATATATTTTTATTCCCTTTTGTTGTATTTTGCGGTTTTTAAGTCTCCTGGTGTTATAATTGTTTTCAGCTTATGTTTTTGATACTTTCTCAACTTTTTCTTGACATGATGAAATGAGGTGTGAAACATTGAAATGATGTATGTTTGCGTCAAATGATGTAGCGGTTGTATCTGTTTTGTATACAAACGACTTTAATCACTCACCATATAAAAAACCAGCCAATAAGACTATGAACATTTTATTCGTATCAACAACTTATCAGCTATTGTCGCGCATCAGTTCAATTTAAGTTGAACCACAGTACAAAGATTTGACTCGGCAGTTAGTGTGTTGGTGAGCAATAAACATTAATGTATCGCTTATTCATATGGATTCTGAATTAAACCCGCAGTGATTGAAGTGAAAGAGAAACCTTATTAGCAGTTACGTCGCATAGCTTAACTAACAGAACTCTGGCCCGCTGTCCTGAAGACCACTGGCTCGAATCATGCGATGACTCATATTCTTGTTTCAACTTCAATTATTATCTTACCACATAAACACCAGCTTCATAAGAAGTTGAAAAGACATTTACAAAGTGACATGTTATGAAACATTGTGAAGATTGCATACGATTGTTTATACAGAAACGATAACGAACGAGTTTCCATACAGTAATAAAGTTACTGAATATTTTTTATAACCTTGGCAAGTAAATATTCTTTTAGACGTAATATTTCTGTTAAGTCGTGAATGCCAATAAGTTGATACAAACTGTCTACTTATTTTCATCAGCAGTAGTTAAACTAACACCAATAACTTTCCAAATATTTATTTTACTTCTAGGGCTGTGGGGAACTATTGTTGCAGCATACTCTTTTCAGCACTACAAATATTCCTGAAAGACTGTATACACTGCTATACTTTGTTGCCCATGTAAGTTATCGTACTTTTTTAGATCTACGCGTCAATGTTTGGTCTACGTGCCCAACAAAACAGAAGTAGGATGACTTTTGATTTAAGATTCGTTGAATGATATGAAAACAAATCCTGAATACAATTATATACTCACTTATATTTTTCTTCGCTTAAATTTTTGTTTATTTTATTTTTCGAATGCATAAAACTTACTTAGTAAAAGTGTAAGGGCGGAAAATTTGGAAACACTAGTCAGTTTCCCACTAACTTTAATGTGATTTTAGGGGCGACTTTAAATGCAACCCTAACAACTGCCAAAATAATCAACAAAGTTGCTGTATTTTGGCTGTGAAGACAATTTTTCTTAGAATGGTTGTTTCATTAGTTGCTTGGGTGACCTTTAAACTGATTTGATTTTAATCATGGACTGACAAAGCTGGAAAAAGTACGAGCACTGGGCACCTGCCTCCTTTAAGATAAAGAATCGTCAGATATACGTAGCCAAGCCTGGGACATTTTTGTCCTGAAATGGAACAGAATAACCATTCAGCTACTGCAGCGGAATCCATTGGTTGACATTTCCCAACTTCCGTAAATTCACGATATAACACGGCTGTGACACATTCTCATGGGCGAGTATATGCACTGGAATCAGACTTGACTGACTCAACAAGTTCCAGCTTTTGGCTTCATACTGGCTTGTTAGAAATGCACTACGGAAGTAAAAAGTCGGTGGTTTTGTCCAAATATATAAAAGGGTGTAACTATTTCTAACTCAATAATATATTGATTTATCAATGGAGTGATTTAAAAGATCAACCTAACAAATGCTGAACTATATTGAGTGGTCATGGAGGAGCAACCATTTTCATGTTGTCTAGTCATGAGTGCAGATCGAGTCCTATAGATCATAACTGCAATGTGGCCACCAAGCTAGGAGGCTCAGCAGCGTGGTGCAAACTAGTAGATGTTGGTTGGTTGGAGGCAATCGGCAGGAAGCCCTGGACCTAGGTTCCGTGCTTCATATAAATTATACCTGCTGCATAATAAGTGGCTATCGCGACTAGGTGACCTAGTAGATAACGCACCGGCATTTGAATTTATCGGTCCCGGGTTCTAGTCTTAATGGTAAAAATGCCGCTCACTTGAAGGTAAGTACATCCAGCTGACAAGTCACAGAAAGGACGAAACTCACATCCTGGATTCCATTGCTAGACACTATCTATCGCTAATACCAAACGGAAAATATGGGTAACATTGAGGCATTCACAGAAGAGCCAATATGTCAACAGAGACCAATCGATTCAGTTCAATCAACAACAGGATAACACAAGAAATTTCTTACATCAAGGTCAGAGTTGTTAGGAACCTCCTAAATGAAGCTGAGAGCTAAGTCTGATCTAATCATCATATACGGAAGTTTTAGAATACCAAAACAAGATTTTTCTGGTCATTTCGCTGAGCATACCACAGTTTCTTCACCAGAATACTCTGTTGAATAAGCGAAACGCTCGGAAAAATCTTTTTATATTCTAAATGCGCTGAAAGTATATTAAAAGTTACTTATATAAAATACTAATTTCTCAATAAAAAATATTCAGCAAATGGTAAACGATCATAGAAACTAGGATTGGAGTAAGGAGAACGAGACCATTATGCATAGTAAAAGTGTTCTGCCAAACTGTCACCGAAGTGATTAGTTGTGTATTAACCGTAATAATAATAATATTTAGTGTAAGTAACAAATCATTATGTCAGGTGGTCAACTGTAGGAACTAATCAGGTAATAATGATGAGAGAAAAAGCAAAGAAACGCAAGTTAAATCCGGTAAAGGGTTGTCTTTGAGTTTTCGGCTGCAGTATTTTGACTTACGTTTTCCCAGTTGGTTGGCGCCAATCACCAGAAACCCCTGGTTGATCTAGGTTTCTTGCTCGTTGGTGATGTCTGTATTCAACCTTCAAGGAGCTCGTGTCCTCTAAGAGGTCCCAACCCACACCGCTTAGCGCTTCAGCCAAACACAAAACGGACCTGTTGGGGCACTGATCGACCTCTTATATGAGTCAACTAAAAAGTAATTTATTTCACGCTGTGTGGTCTCAAGCGCTAACCAAAATATATCGACCAATTTTTAATGTGATCATCAGGCTAGGAAACTCAGTATCATAGTGTACTTTCACTGATGAGAGTTGGTGGTAATCAGTAGCAAGTCTTGGACCTAGATTTCATGCTTGTTCGCAACAGATCTACGAGAATCTTCCTGACCGTTCAACATAAAAAAAGTCTGAAGAATATTGTTTCGACAACTTGGTAGGCACTTTGATATGATGTTTTACTTTCTACATCATGTGCCCAGTGATACCACTGCAGAATTACCTAAGTTCCTTAACGATGTAACTTTCTATGGACATGCAGCGCTTTTCCTCATTTAATTCACTTTTCTGTTCATCCTTTCACAGAGGTATGCAGATTTTTAGCTGATGTTCTGTAAAATATGAAGATGTGGACGTAATTCTGACTAATCTATTTACCATTCAATATCGTTGGTACAAATTGATCCAGCTACAGGAAAACGCTGTCCGATGAATTGTTCCTCCCTGTATATATTTCATTTTCCCCAAATAAGACACCAGCAAGGTTGATTGAATTTCTAGGACTGAATACTTAGACATTGCAAATGTTGTTTTCTTATAATTAGACTATCCGTTTTCCTAAGAACAATTCTAAATATCAGCCAATCCTCCAATAATTTGAAGAAAGTTCTCTTCACAAACTGAAAATGGTATGAGAACCATTGGAGAATAAGCAGGACTGTGCATTTTTTTCGTCTTATACAGAAACTTCTAAGAAGAATCCACCAATGACTGAGCATTTAGTCAAGCAAAGCGTCTGAGATCGTGATGATCATTGATTTAAGTCTTATCAGTATTCAAACTACTTCTCCTTCAGATCTTAGTTTTCCTCACCTTATTCGAAAGAAAATACACTACTTAAACTATTCTTTTTCGATGTGTTTTTCTTCACAGGTTCTAACGATATGTGTATATGTTATCAAGAAGGATTTAACGGAACAAAAAGGCAAAAATTTATTCCTCTACCATGAAGGCGGTTTTTGTGAAAGTGAAAAACCAATAAATGGGATTACAACGATTACATTTAATACCGATAATAAAGCAGAAATGGACCCATTCGCTCCCACTGGTATTTCAGCATACACCAATGAACACATGCAACCGCATAAAAGTGACAGTGCTTTTTACTAACTATATATGCATATAAGTCAAATGAAATAACTTGTAAATGTACAATGAAACTTATGATTTCTCGAAGTCAATAATTTACCTCTCTTGGCTTTATATCTCATGATAGTTGAAACTCAAAGGTAACTGAAACCAGAAACATTCGATTTGTTATCTTAAAACCTAGAAATCTAAATAATCTCTCCCTCTATCTAGCCCAGATCACCTTTGCTTCGGATGAGATAACTTGACAAGGTATGTTGTGCTGCAATAACATGATAGTTAGAAATTCCCTTAAATGTCGATTAGTTGAAAATCGGAACAGCAACAGTAGAGTTAATATCTAGTTAGCTGTAAGGTATTTAGAAACTTCAATCAGTAGACAGCTAGACTATCAGAGTAAAACCTGAAGTTTAAACGCTTGATTTTCTCTAGAAATTATATTTAGCGAATGTTTTCTACTGGGTTATGATTGTAGGTGGAATGAAAATCTTCGTCGTGGCAAGATTCAAACTAGCCATCTCTAGGTTTTCTACTTTTCTTTTAAATATCACCATTGTTAAACTATTAAATTAAGCATATAAAGTTACTACCGCACCATAATTGTCTTTTTAGCCTAAAGACAATTGAAAAATAGATGGTTAATTTTTCACAAACAATGATATAGTGAGAAACACCACAATTATGATAAAGTAGAAATAGATCAGAAAATTAAAAAGCCAAAAATAAGTTTTGTCATCAGAATTTCTAACTCATCCAAGAATAAATGTTAATAACAGAATCCATAGAATGAATACTAAAATCTGTGTGAACTTTGTAATCTACTGTTTAAGGGTAATCTATATGACTGACAGTCATAGAGATTGCTATACTTTGATACAATTTAAATAATATAATCCTAAGTAAATTAGTTTACATCTGAGACCTTACTATTGGCTGAAAGATAACAAATATGAGTTTGATACGCTTATCATCAAAATTATCCCTAAATGAGAGTGAGTTTCAATATTTGTCTAGTAAGTGATAAGGAGTGAGAAGATGGACATACGCTGGCTGGACCGATGAAAAGATCCCAGAAGAAGACTTGGATTTCGCCGCCGATGATGATTTATGCCTAATGTCGCACAAATTCGAAGAGCTACAAGCAAAAACCAACTAGCTGATAGAAGAAACCAGGCAGCGAAGATGGGACTTCAAGTGAATGTAGAGAAGATAGAGGTGATGAAGATACCCAACCAACAACAAACACCAATCACCATCAATGGGAGAAACATGAAGGAAGTTGTCTCTTTCACCTACCTAGGCAAGGCAGCATCGTTTCAACTACAGGCGGCGACACAGACGGGGATGTCAAAACCAGGGTCGGAAACATGACAAGACAGGCTTTCATTAATTTAAAATCACTGTGAAGATCCACTACACTCGGCATGTGGAACGAGATCCGGATTTCCAACAGTAATTCAGTCAAGTCAGTGCTGCTATATGGTTCAGAAACTTGGCGCGTTATGAAGAGCATTTCCAACAAACTGCGGGCATACATCAATAGCTGCCTACGTTAGATACTAAAAATCAGATGGCCAGAGTGATAAGAATAAGCAACAAGGAACTTTGGTTTGCAACGAAGCCAAGAACCTATCGCCCAACAAGTATCCTAAAGAAATCGGAGATTGATTGGACTGGACATACACTGAGAAGACCATTCGAGGACATCACGCTCCAGGCCAGGCCCTGGAGTAGAACTCAGATGCGAAACGACAAGTTGGGTGTCTGTGGCAAGGGTAACATGAAGGAGATTATGTGAGGAAGAAATGAAAGGTTGTATGCAGTGGTGGAGCCAGATTCAAAAGACTGGAGGGAAGAGAGTGAAATAGCGACGTGCTACTGGAGCTGTGTTTCACTAGGAACCCGAAAGAATAATAATGACTAAGTGATGATTATCCCGAAAAGAGTGCACCTTCAGGAAGTTTAAACTAGATTATTAAAAACTATTAGTACACGACCAACAAGTTGAGCAAAAAACTTAGTTTCTAACTTATATATAGAGAACGCCAAAAGATCTACGATATCACACCTAAGAAATTCATGAATAGTCATTCTTTGGTCGGTTTTCAGACACTTTACCAATAGTCCTCAACCACTGATTCTTATTGTTTTGAGGATACCATTTGGGTAGCCTGAACACTGTTACACTGATCAACCCAACAGTCAGGGACTTCACAATTGAGTGCCAAGTGTTATTTTGGCCATCCACAGCTTTCTTCTAATCTAATCCGACTTCCACCAGTATTTGACATCAAGGTTGGTGGTGGCTTGGCACACGTAGCACATGTCCAAGCTGCTTCAGTGAGTGGTGGTTCACAGCTGCATTGACTAACTTGTCATCATTACTTAGTACTCTTCACCTACCCTCGATATCGCTAACATGATGATTCTACCATAAGCGAGAAATCCTACGAAGACACTTTTAGTCAGACAGGTAGCCTCTTCATATCTTCTACCTTTCTCCAGTTGGTGAATGCCAAATGGGTCTTCTGTATCACAGCTGAGATTTCGTCAGCAAAATATCAGCTAACAATTTCGTATCAAGAAACAGTAAATAAAAAAGCATATATAAATGTCAAACTGTGACTGTTCATCTAAACAGTTCCCTTCATGATAGATCTTCACTAACTATGATGCAATACAAGAGCTAATTATTTTAACCTACTCGTCGGAAAATCTGGTTGGATGTTCTTAATTAGACATGGTTAACAGTAGAATTCTGGGCACTATTTAATTCGTTCTTCTTCGTCTTCATCACTATCGTTTGTGTATACCTGCACCCAAGTGAGTTATGGAATTCTTACTGAGTCTCTAGTTCAATATATACACCTTCAAACATTAGATAGGTAGCCAGTTAGGAGGATCTTATCTGAGGAAATAAGTATCTTTTGTTATACAAACACCATAATTCTTCATTCTTCAACTTTCTTGATCGAAAAGGTGAAGCTTCATCGATATGTGATGTCAGTGAGAGAACTTTCACTCAGTGAGACTCAGCTGTCTTAACTTAATAATGCCCAAACACAATAAAATACACCTTGTAGATTACAGTAGTATACTATCAAACCAAAACAACATAACAGTGGAACTTATGACAGTGATGACACAAGGAGCTTTGTATGCCAGTATTGGCTGATCAAAGCAAATAATGGAAAATCAAAATGTTTGAACAACTGCCCTAATAGGCTTATTTAAGGCTTCAATAAATTCCTGTTGTTTTTGTACTGATTCACTTCACAATGTATACTTTAGATACATTTCCTGAGTGAAAACTAAAGCTGTTGCACTTCTATAATTTCTGTAGCCCAGAGATACCACTTAAGTTCTAAGTGCACCTTTGAACAAGGATCTAAAGTGTTATCTTAAGGTTTGATTGACTCTAAACTCCATCAAAAAAGTATTGAAATAACCAATTAGAGTTCTGTATTTTAAGTAAAATTAGGTTCCTAGATTATGTAAGGAAACCTGATTGGTTATTCCAGTGATTGTTAGGGTGATCTTTAAAGTCACTCAAAGATTTTAGAAGCGGGAACTGATAAGGAGATAGAAAAGACTAACCTAGAAGTGGACCAATCAATTTTATGTTAATAACGTTTATAGTTGACAGACAGACGATCGATCAGTCAATCAATATCATTATTTGAAACGCCAAACTATGTATATTGTAACATATTTTCTTTGTTTATTGTCTTCGGTCAATTCATTGCGTCTTTTACCTTTAATCAATCGAGTCTGGAATCCAAATAGGAAGTTATGGAACGTTGGTGGCTGACAGTAGGAATCCGTGCATTCAGTACTGCTATAGCTGTTTTCAAATCATAAGAGAAACCTTTATTTTCTAAAGATGAAAGCTAGGTTATTATCGTCACCTGCATCGTAATTTAGGTACTTTTCAGTGTAAAGTGTAAATATTGAGAACAGACAACTTATAATCAAGTAATATATTGCTAACTGACATGAGTAGTTCAAGATCACTGACTGGTGCTTATATCCCCTTTATCTAACTGAAGAGAACTTCTGGTTGGTGTAAGTGGTCTAGTACTTCTCATGCCAGTCAGTAGTACATTACATACAGGTTCATGATGTCAATCTTGACTCTCTTCTGGTGTCGAGCAGGTCATATTTACGTGATGTGAATATTTTTCTTTCCATAGGATCGTGAATTTTGTCACAACTAGCTGTAGATTTTATAAATACCTGATTTAAAACTTACCACACTGAATAATACCGTTATATATATATCACTTCCTAATAAAGACTATTTTAAAACCAATCGAATCTCTTCAATCAACTCAGCTAAATAGTAAGTTAGTGCTCAGTAGTGTGACTGACTTCCACGCATTGATATAATGACATCGGTAGTGTGGATGAATTCCCGCGAATGAAAATTTATGATGTTCATGCTATGTCATAATTTGAATAAAAATAAAAATTCAGAATAGTGAATTCCAACCCACTGACTGACATAATGGTAAATTACAGACCTCAAAAAACCTGACGGTCTTAAAGTTAGTCGCCTGTCAAGCCGTGTGTCTAATTACTAGGAAGTTTTGAAATAAGAAGAAAACGATTTCAAATACTATTCAGTTCTCAACGGTTCACTTGTTATTGTTACTTAATGTGAAGAACAACTCTGATATTATATTTGTTATTAACTAATAAGTGAATGAACGACTTCATGGACTGCTCAGTGGAGAATGATGAATTTCATATTTTCTCTGTTATTCCTTGTAATTTTCCCTCGTTGACTAAACCGAACTGATCTATCTATGTTGATTCATCGGCTCCTTCACACAAAGAGTGGCTGTCATGCCTTAGTGGTCTGATGAGTAACGCTCTGGCACCTAAAAAGATGGCTTCTACTTTGAGTCTTAATGGGAACATCATGCACCGGAAGACAAGTAAATTCAGCTGACAAACAGGACGAAACAGGCGTCCTGGATTTTACACTACTAACCACTATCCTACATATTGTCCAGCCG